GGCAGGGCCTCGGGGCAGAACGGGCTGGGACAGCCGGTGGAAGGGCTTCTGTGCCGGGTGTCTCGCCCTCGGGGCCTACCGGAGTTACCTGGCCGGCTCTAGAGCTGCAGTGCCTGCGTCGAGTGAGAAAGGCTCCGGCAGGAGCTGCTTGGTGGTTATTGGAAAGCTCGTCAAGTGGAAAGGCTGTTTCTGACTTGCCCGTGGGTGCTAGACTAACCACTGAAAGGCCGCCCCGTAGTTTTTTCAGTCCTGAGTCCACTCTTTGCACTAACTGGAATCTTACAGGACAGCGCAAAAAAATGGGTTCGCATCCTGTTTCATCTTGAAGTCTGAAATGTACAGGGTTTGGTTCTTGGAAACGGTACAGTATCTTTGCACAGAATAAAGGGTTTCCGTGTGAAGTGCTTCGTTTTGTAGGAGACTGCCTCTTGCAGTCTGAAACCTGCCTGAAGCTTTACAGTGTGGTGCTGCTTCTTGCAGAGCCCAAACTGCATACGTGCTGTATTTACTGAGGGTTTACACCAGAGTATCAAATCCTTATTTATACACTCCTTTCAGCATTGTGTGCAGAATTTAAGTTGTGTTTGATTGCTCTACTTAGACTTTTTAGTCTTTTTTTCTGAATTTTACATGTCTGGTTCCCAGAGGGTACTCAAAGTGCGTTTCATTTGATTTGCTTCGGGTCAGTTGATAAAGACTGACATGGAAAAGATGGCACTCGGGAATGATCTGCAGTCCACAGAGTTATCCGTGTATCCCAAAGTTCATTTTGGCCTCCGATGCAGAACAGCAGGAGGTGCTTGCGTTCCTGGCTGCTGCTTTCAGATGAGCCAGAAGTGGAGAGCAAAGAGGAAATGGGTGCATAATACACACAACTGCATAGTAAATTCAGTGCTTCCTGTAAGGACTGATAACATGACAGGGAAAGATTGCAGCCAGAGTGTGAAACTACACTGCAGGTGAAACTACATGATCTGCTCCTGAGAAGATTGAGTGTTGCTCTTACAGAAGAGCAGGGACTGTAGTGTCCTGGTACTTAATCTTGGATGTTTAGATCTGACCTCATGCCTATATTTTTGCTAGTTTGATGCTGATCCACTTCAAATATTACAAATTTTATACAGTAACAAATTAAGTAGTTAAGTGAGGGGTTTTATTTTTTAAATATACCATACTTCTAGTTTAAGAAGTCTCAAAATAGGTCTATATTTCAATTTAAAAATTAATATTAAATTGATATAAAAAATAATTTTAAATGAATGCTTATGACAGCATAATGATTTTAGTAATACTGGCCAGAATCTAGCAATCTTGATCTGTCTTGGCATGATGGATCCTGACAGAGACTACAGAGAACATATGAACACAACTTGAATACAGATTTTTATGTCCAGTTGATATTTCAGGCTCTTAACTTTGTTCTCTTATGTCTGATCTCACTGTTAAGTTAGGTAAAAACTGAAGCAGCATGTAAATGCTTACTAGAGAAGAATATCTATGTTCTTTCTTGCAGAAATGGTAGTTTCTGCAGAGTTTAAAGGATGTGCAACAAAGCAATATTCTTCATTAACATTTTTATTAAATTTGTATTCAAGACACATTAAGCTGTGGGAGAGTATTACAAGTTTGAAGTTAAATCCATTAACTTCTATATTGTCTGAAATGGTCAAGAAGAGTTAAGATGCGCTCTCTCAATAGTACAGGAGAGCCCTTCATAGTCTTTTGACTTAATTAAAACTGTTAGTGATTACATTAGAATTAATGGCTCACAATTAGAGCAGAAATAGAGCTGATTCTGAAAGCAGTCTCTAGCAGTTACATAAATTATTAACTATTAATGCTGTGTACTTAATTTTGTTTGTAGATAAGGCAAATCCAATACTTAAATAGAACAGCAGCGCGCAATGCCAGTGGAGGAGCCTTATTTGTGGTAAGTAATTTTCTACCTTACTGGAAGGGGGACGTGTAAGAAGAGTTTGGCATAGACTTCTTTTAATCTCCCTAAAAGATTCTTATGGGCAGTACTTGGTATAGAAGCTTGCTTGAATGTAAAAAGTGTTTTTTCAGTGGAACTTTATATTAAAATGGTAATGGAGTATCAAAAGGTTTTATTTTGGTTTTTGGCTTGGTGTTTCTTATATAATGAAAAGTCTTGTTTATTAATAGTAATGGTGATGCTAGCACCATTTGTGTGTGACTGCAGATGAGACTTTGTTTAAACTCCATTATAAAACATTTCTATTTTTTTTTTAAAGTTAATTGAATTTGTAATTGAAGCTCATGAAACTTTCTGCAGGCACAATTTCTTGATTTCTAAAATTTGCCACAGAATTACCCTTAGATCCAGGTCAAATCCTGTTCACTAGGAGCTGAAAATGCAGTTGATCATATTATGTGTCATATTGCACATTGCATAATGGTTCACTAGAGAATTGACCACTTTGTTGAAATCAAGTGCTCAGCTTTTTTTGACTGATTTTTTGTTGTTGTTGCCTTTCTGCAGTTGTCTCTATGGCTTTTCTCATAAGATGAAGTTAATGGAATTTCAGTACATGCTTAGTATGCTCTTCCAGAAACCTAAGCAGTCATTGATGATTTATGAAGTGAGAGCTGGTATTCAAGGAATAGAGGAAATGGTGTAGGCAGACAGCTTAGGAAACTTCAAGCATAGTTTGAGGTTGGTGAAGACAGGCAAAAGGTGTCTTTGGCACTCCAGTGGTTGTTGGTGTCTGGCATGAAAGTTAGATAGCTTTGTAAAATCTCTGTGTTTTTATGTAAATGCTTCAAGAAGCCTGAAAAAAGAGAGAGGGAAGCAGAAAATAAATGTTGTGTTTTAGTTAACTACTTGTGATATCCAGCTGTTTTATTTAATAGTGTAATTCGTTCCTTTTATTTTTATTCCAAAGCACAAAGCACAATTTTTTGCCAGTGGAGCATAGGACACTGTTTGCATGGGAGTTTGTTTTATGGGGTTGCTTTTTGGGGGAGGTTTTGTTTGTTTAATAGGGTTATATTCGTTCTTTTGTGAAGTAAAATGCAACAGGAAGAAGGTAGTTGGATGTCATTGTGTGTGTGATTGCTTTAACTACAACTAAAAACATTCAGAGCAAATTTCAGATATCGAACACAGCAGATTGCAAGGGAAACTCTTCCACTGAATTGAGCTGAAGGCATTTTAAACAACATTAGGTGTTTGTTTACAATCAGAAAATGATACTTTTTCTCCACCAGATTTCTGTAGCAGAAAAAAACCCCAACATTAAAAAAAACAAAACAAAAACAACCAAGTCTTAATTTTCTGGAATATTACAAGCAGATGAAGTGTCAAGGTTTATTAAAAACTGTGGAGGAATAGTAGGTTTATCTGGGATTAGCCTGTTGTGGTCATCCCCTTCATATGTCAGTTTACATTCAAGTGTCTGGGTTTTGTTTTGCAGAGCATATTGCTGCTTCTTGTTGCACTTTCCATATAGGAAATCTGGATGTGAGGATGAGAAATGCACACATCACATTTGTTTTGTAATATCAGGGGACATGCTGGTGGGGCATCTGGTTGTCTTACATGTGGTATTAAAAGGCAGTGCCAGTTGCATGCCCTTGTATCCTAGATACAACTTCTTTGCGGTAAAAACCTTCCATGGGAGAGTACCATAATCTGTGGAGATAGTGGGGCTTGGGTAGGCCTTCACACTGCAAGTAGGTTAGGCGGAATGCTGAGTGCTGCAATACAAAACATGGTACAGTCAAGCTATCCATGTAATGAAAACATATTGTGTAAAACTTCGGGAAACTGGGAAGCATGAGAAGGGAATTGGGGAAGAAAAAGTGTGGCTGAAGTTTTTGACCTTGTCTTTCAACAAATTGGGGTAGTTAGTACAGACATAATTGTACTTGGTTTGTGTATGGAGGAAGCCTTAATATACTGGTTGCTTTTTATGAAGAAAGGCTGAGAGAGCTGGGACTGTTGAGAAGAGAAGGCTGGAGAGGGAGGGATCTTGCCAATGTCTATAAATACCTGAAGGGAGGGTGCAAAGAGGATGGAGCCAGGCTCTTTTTAGTTGTGCGTGGTGACAGGAGCAGAGGGAATGGCCTCAGAGAACATCAGGAAACACTTCTTTACTGTGAGGGTGACCAAAGACTAGCACAAGTTGCCCAGAGAGGTTGTGGAGTCTCCCACTCTGGAGATGCTCAGAAAATGCCATCTGGACATGGTCCTAGGCAACCACCTGTGTGGCTCTGCTTGAGAGGGGGGTTCAGCCCAGATGACCTCCCTTCAAAGGACCCTTCCAACCTTTGCCACTATGCATTTTAACAGTACAGTGTCTTTAATTCTGATCTTGTTCTGCAGAATCTATATCCTACAAAAAAGGCAGAAATGTACCCATATAATATAGGAGCAAATGAGATCATTAAGATTCAGATAAATGGTGCATCATCAGATAAATGGAAGATTAGGAAACATGTGATGGACAAATTCCTAACAGCTCAGTAGGCCTAGAACTCTGTAAGGTTGTGATGAAAACTGTCAAAGTCTCCACAGCACAGAATTAGATAAAGCTTAGATAAAGTTTTCCATTAGAGAAATGGAAAACTGGAAAAAGGTGACATGATCTTATTTAGTGTTCACCTGTGCAGTAGCTTCTACATGTTATCTTGGAGCCTTGCTGCACAGAATTGATGGTGTGGCAAACTGTAATTTCAGATAGAAAGTTTATTATTCCTCTTCACATGTAGGGTATTTAAGGATACCAGCATAGAGATAGTACACTGAAAAGGACAGCTGTTTTAGACACAGAGATTTTAATAAATATACTTATTTGCAAAAGAAATTGAGATCAAGTACGATTGTAACTGTATGAAATAGCTGTGGAAGTCAAAATAGCAGCCTGAAATAAAACAGGCAGTCACATCTGAGAAGGAAAAGTTAAGTTGTGGAAATATTTTTCATGACTCGTGGATTTGATCTGTGCAGCTAAGACAGAAGTCTGTAAGGGAAAAAAACGTTTCTTAGTATTTCCAATCAGTTTTTCCTCCATCAGCCTCTTTTTGAGAACTCCCATTAAAACTGGTACAAAACCCTCACCAACACTACATATGAAGAGTCAAATCCTGTATCTGGAATGGTCAGCTTGAAATTGTGGCAATTGTGTTCCTAAAAGCTGTTTTATGTTATCTTGTAGCCCACACAATATGCAATAAATTCAAACTTTATAAAACAGTAGTGTGTTCAAAGGGAATTGCTTCTCTTTCTGTAATTTCTGTTATTAGGGCAAAGTCATCCATGGTGGTGAAGTATATATTGACTAGTTTTGTATTTGAAATGGAATGGTAGGGGTACATGCTTTCAAATTGATGGCACTAGTACTGTCTGCTCCAGGTTATGGATATGATAACCAAAGGGAATCTCTCACTAAACCAACATGTGTAACTGAATTTAAGTATTTGACCTTTTGATATTTCTGTATAAAAATGTCTAAATCCAGAAATAGCTATGGACCATACATATTTTAAGGTCTGCACTGATGACAGTCTTTTAGTATGTAAGTGTTCTGCAGTATTAAGATTTTTCATTAAATCTTTTGGTGCTTAATAAGAATGCAGAGTGGAAACTGCAAAATCACTCTAGGTTACTTGAGAAAATTATCAAGGTGAAAGTCAGTGGAGTGGGATTCTTTCTCCTAAATATACTTTAAAAGCTTTTATTATTAACTGGTTGTGGATTACGTTTAATATCAAGTCTCAAGGTATAACTTGCATTTTCCCTTGAACTCTCAATTTATTTTGAAACTTTTGTCAATTTGATAACTGTATGAAGTTTGGAATGAAATCTAGCTATTAAGTATTTCGAGGATACCATAACGAGCTGCTCAGAGGTAACTGAAAATTTTGTGCAGGAAGTTTTTCTGGTGGATAAGGATTTTTGTTAGAACTAAGATTTTATTACAGGAAAATGTCACTTTCTTCAAGACTTCCAAATTTGTATTTTCTGAGAACAGAAGTACTAATTTAAATATGATGTTTCCCTAGAAGACTACCTTAAAAATATTATAGAAAAACTTTATTTTGAAAATGTTAATTAAGAATTTTGGTTCTTTGATTCTGATTCAGACTTGTATCTACAATTAAAATGTTGAAATCCATTACAAATCAAAAGAATACATTAAGATGGGTTAATCTGTGTTTGAATGTGTAAACGGTTTATATAGCAACCTTCTTGCTGAATTTTAAAGTTTTTATAGTGAATGTCTCATGGGAAAAAGAAAAAAAAAAAAGGTTGCTGTTTTAGTCCCTTGTTGGTTATTAAGGGGTTAACCAGAAGATTATTAATATGCCCGTGATGAGTTTGATCATAATTGCCAAAATGTATTAAGTGTTAAAAAGTATATTTTATAACAACAGCATAGTCATCAATAAATATTTTTTTTATTAGGAAATAACAGGAAAAAGTAATTATTTTTAGGAGTGATTAAATAATTATCAATACTTTTATAACTTTTCCAGATATATTTAATAATGTATTATTGAGTACTATGACATTTTTTTCTGGAATATATGTTTTATTCAAGCAACTCAACTGTCACTGTCTAATGAGAAGGAACTTTATTACAGTAAATCTGTCCTCTATTATTTTCTGACAACCCTATTTTTACATGTTATCTTTTTCTTTTCCTGAAGCACAGAGATAGTCCGGAAAATAATCCAAATACTCCATTTGAGTTCACACCTGAAAACCAGAAGGTATGCAGGCAAAAAATGTTAAATACACTTTAAGACATTGTCTTTAGATTAGTAGTGATATTTTGTATCCTGTTTCCCTTTAAAAGCGAATAGAAGCGATCATAAACAACTACCCAGGGGGACACAAGTCTGCAGCTGTCATGGCAGTACTAGATTTGGCCCAAAGACAGCATGGATGGTTGCCCATCTCAGCTATGAACAAGGTATTTAGTACTTAATTCTCTTTCAGGCATGATTTTACTGTTTTCTTTAAATATCTCCCTAGAATATTAGCAGTTATTTAACAAGGCTTACTAACATGGAAATTTACATGTAGCACAGAATTGTGCTACAGAATTGGTGGGTTTTTTCCTCCTCTCAGATTAGTGGTATTTAACACCTTGCCAAGATTGTACTGAATCTCTAGGCCTGCAAAGCCTTCTGCAAAGCAGTGTTAAGTGTAGTATGTGTTATTAGTATTTTATAATGCCTCACAGCAAGTACCTGGAAAACTTATCAAATTATTTCTTAAAATAGTTTTTCAAAATAAGGAAGTGACTACACTGCTTCAAAGTGATAGGCTGCATAGCAGTAATCAAATACCAAGAAATAAAAAATTGTGGTTTATATTAATATGAGTAAATCTATCATATTTTTTATTAGAATCTGACATTATCAGCTTTGAAGTGAATAGTTTTAAATTAAATCAATATGCTAAGTGAGGATGGTGAGCATTATGGAAATTACTGAAGGAGTTAAGCACATATTTAGGGAAGGGCAAATTTTATCTGTGGCTGTTTATACAGTGTAGCACAGCATAAAGCCTTAAACTTAATACTGAATGGGAAAAGTATTTTTGTTTATCTACTCCTGAGTTTTGGATTTATATTATATTTTAAATGATCTTAAGCGAACAGACATTTTCTGTGGTTTGTTATTTGCCTGCTATAGAGACTGGAGCGTGAAACAATTACGCTTTTGAAAATAGAGCCAATATTCAATCTGAGCAGTTTGCCAGGGTTCCATGTTAATGAGGTCAGGGATACTTGCACCAGAACTGGCTCCATGGAGAACCTGTATCACTCTTATTTCTTAGCTGTGATGTCAATCTGCAGATGTATCAGTGGTGTTTCTAAAGCCAGCCCTGGTGTGTCACAGAACCTGAGACAGACCTGCTGTATCTGAATTAAACAAGCATAGTACCAACCTATAAGGATTCCCTTACCAAAAAGCTTACATGGGCTAGTGTGGGCAGGTGTTCAAGTTTGTGCATTCATACAGCAAATGAGCACAAGTGCAGTATGAGCTGCAGCTGACAATGAAAGTTGGAACTCAGCTGACTCCTCCCATCTGCTTGTGTGTGGTGCTAGATGCTGGAGGGAATGGACTTTAGCTCCTCGCTGTGCTAATCACCCCGCAGCTTGGTGCAGTTCATGCTCAAACAGGGTAACTCCAATCGGAGTAATTCGGGTGTCTTTCCTTGGCACTTGAATGCAGTTGTGCTTTGATACCCATCCCCTCCTTCTTTCTTACCCTTTACTGTAGACAGAGGACAGGTGACTTCATTGAAATGGTTTGTTAAATGGCTTTACAGATGCCCTATGAGGTTTCAATATAGTGTCTGTTTTCCCCTTGTTACAGGTTGCTGAAATTTTAGAAATGCCTCCCATGAGAGTGTATGAAGTAGCAACCTTCTATACAATGTATAATCGCAAACCTGTTGGGAAATACCATATTCAGGTCTGCACTACCACGCCTTGCATGCTGCGAGACTCTGATAGTATTTTAGAAGCCATTAAGAAGAAACTTGGTATGACACAAATTTGTAATACACTTCTTGTAATTTTTTTATTGTTGTTCAATGATACTGAAGTGAAGTTTTTCATGTGGTGGGGACAAAGCAATCATATTGAAAATATAATCCGCAGAGAATAGCCACTAAACACTTCATATTTCAGATTTGTCATTTATTCTTTAAAGATTTCAGTAGGGAAGAAAAAGTAATTGTCCACAGTGCCATTTAGTGGACTCAAAGTGTTTTTAAAGGCAATTTGGCAGGAAATGCAACATTCTAATATGAGCCTTAGACTGAGAAAGTAAGCTCAATCCCATATACAGGAGAGGACTCTGAATGCTATGGCCCTTTTTAATATGCAAAATAAGATTTTTAAGGTATATACTATATGAAAGTTGTTTGTGAGGGTTTGGTTGTTTGTTTGTTGTTGTTGTTTTTTTTACTGAAGGAAGGTGATAGAATCATAGAATGGTTTGGGTTGGAAGGGACCTTAAAGATCATCTTATTCCAAGCCCCTGCTTGGGCAGGGACACCTCCCACTAGACCAGGTTGCTCAAAGACCCATCCAGCCTGGCCTTGAATAATTCCAGGGAGGGGGCATCCACAACTTCCCTGGGCAACATGTTCTAGTGTCTCACCACCTTCACAGGAAATAATTTCTTCCTAATATCAAATCTAAATGTACTCTCTTTCAGTATGTAATTGCTCCCCCTTGTCCTGTCATTACTAGCCCTTGTAAAAAGTCTGTCGTCCCCCCCAGCTTTTCTGTAGAACACTTTCAGGTACTGGGAGGCTGTACGGTCTCCCTGGAGCCCTCTCTTCTCCAGGCTGAACATAGGTGCTGTGGCCCTCTGATCATCTTTGTGGTCCTTTTCTGGGCCCACTTGAGGAGGTCCATGTCTTTTTTATGTTGTATACCCCAGAACTGGACACAGTAGTAGTCCAGGTTCGTTTTCATGACAATAGAGGGGTAGAATCACATCCCTCAACCTGCTGGTCATGCTTCTTTTGATGCAGCCCAGGATGCAGCTGGCTTTCTAGGCTGCAGGTGCACTTTGCCAGCTTATATTCATTTTTTCATCAACCGATGCCCACAAGCCCTTCCCCTCAGGCCTGCTCTCAATCCACTCATTGCCCTTACCCAGGTGCAAGGCTTTGTACTTGGCCTTGTTGAATTTCATGAGTTTTGCACAGTCCTACCTTTTTTGCCTGTTGGTGTCCCTCTAGATGGCAAATATATTAACATTTTCATGGAATTTTCCATGAAAAAAAGTCATTCAAGAGAGCTGCATCATATGAGACGTAAGGGAGAACTCATGGATTTTGTGTATGCAGTGGTTTTTTCTCCCTCCTTGTTGGCTGGTTATGGAGAGAAGAGAGATCAGCAACCAACAGCTCTTCCCCTTCTATGAAGCCACAAGCTGTGCTAAAATTTCCTAAGAGCCACTGTGATAAGAGCTGCAGAACAGCTGCTTATTGTCTTGCATTTAATATATTCTGTTGTCTGGAAAAGGCATATTTACATTCAATTTGTTTGTTAATGCAAAATAGCTTAATTTTAAATGAAACACTTAGCTTGATAAATTAAAGCATTAAGGATGATTGTGTAGCTCTTACTGAGACACAGGCCTTAATTAGACTTTTTATGAGTTCTCCCTCACTTTTAATAACTATGGAGGAAAACTGCTTTTCAGCATTCTCTTTCCATAGACTATTTTGTTGAGATCAGACTCCGAGATGTTATTTTTGGCTAACCTGCCCTCTGGGGAAAGTCTGTATTTATATCACTAGAACAATAATGTGCCATGGAAGCTAAGTATGTGTGCAGAGTTGTTGGGGAAATATATCTTTGTGTGTAAACTTGAAAGGTTTTTATGTACTTATGGCTAACAGTGTTAATGCTTGGATCTTGGTTTATTTGGGAATTTTATATTCGACACTATCAATGTATTGCTTACTAAAAAATGTTCCTGAGTAGAGCTGTTCTTAGAATTGTCATTTCATTGTTCTTTTTCAGTAAAGCACACCTGTAAAACTGAAAATGAGGTGTCAAAAATGTATGTGAAAACTGACTACACAATTTATTAGAATCTTATGTTTCATGGAAATTTTTTTACTCATTTAAGTGAATTTAACTGTTCAAATGTTTCTTAAAGCCAAAATACAAATAATTGACAAGGCTATGGGGTACTTAGGCTTCCTTGATTGTGTTTAACCATTACTGAAACTAATATTCTTTATTGGTTTAGGTATAAAAGTTGGGGAGACAACACCTGATAAACTCTTCACGCTGATAGAAGTGGAATGCTTAGGTGCTTGTGTAAATGCACCAATGGTACAAATAAATGACAACTACTATGTAAGTGTTACATTCGCTTTCAAAATACTAAACTTGTTTGCTGGGTGACCTGTATTTTCACTTGTTTCAGATTTGGAAGTTTTGGTCAGTTACTTCTGCCTTCCTATTGGCAGGGATAACATAAAACCTAGAGCATCTTGGTTTCTTTGCCTATTCCTAGAATGCTTCATCTCTATCACAGTGTGTCTGTGTATTTTTCTTTCAGTTACTGTCTAGATTTACACAAGTGGGGTGATGTATTTTTGTGTTAGTGGTCTACCCATAAATGTGGCATTTTTAAATAGGTATTTGATGAGCTTCTCAAAACACTTTAAATAGTCTGTTAGAAAGCACAAGCAGGTTTGACACTTTTTGAACTTTTAGTCTTCTGAATTATGGCTCACTTGGATGCCATCAAGACCAAAGGAATTAATGTATTGACCAAGTCCATGTTTTTTTAAAAAAACATGGTTTAAAATATTTTATTTTGTTATAACAGCCTAGTTAATTTTTTTTTTCAGAACTGTTCTCCTGAATTGTACCCACAATGTTTTTTGTAACAGCTGACACCATTTTGCAGTATGTGCAGTGACACACATATAGCAGGTAGGCAGTAATCCAGCTCACTAATATACCAAGGAAGCTGGAAACACAAACCCATATTACAGATGACCTGAATCAACATTGTTCTTTTTATCATAATTTCTGCAACTGTATGTAAAACCGATTTTAACATTAAAATGACAGTACACTTTTTCATTTTTCTAATTCTTTGGACCAGTGTGTTAATGGACAGGATCAAACTACGTATGGTAGGATCACACCTAAGAGAGCCTTTATCTGATGCATTTTAAATGTTGCTAATAGCATTATTGCTGACTTTTTCTGTTTTGTTGATGATTTGTTGTTTGGTTTTTTTACAGGAAGATTTGACACCCAAAGATATTGAAAACATAATTGATGAGCTAAAGGCTGGAAAAGTTCCCAAACCTGGCCCACGGTATGCTATATTTGCATAGCAATGGCCAATTAAATTCCTGTTCCCGTGATTTGAGTTCCCAACCTACAGCTAAAAACATTAATTAATTTTCTTAACAGAATGGCATATATTCAATGCCTTTCTATATATTCAAAGACAAAAGGAGCCAGGAAGAACTTTCATGTTCTTGATGATTGACTAGGGAGGAGCATGAAACATCTATTCTGATTTGGCTTAGTACCTAATAGGGGAATGATACCACCTGTTAAGATTAGTGTCTATATCATGTAAATCAAAAAGTGCCCATTGGCTTTTTGGATTTTTTTCAATTTCTGGTAAAAAACAGAAAGGTTGCAAGTTTATGAACAGGTTGTTATTTCTGAACTTTTCTTGTTTGTGATTTCCCACTGTTCTTTGTTAGCTCAACTACAGCTATGTTTGTGTGGGTGGAAGAATTTGTTTGGTTGCCTGTTCTTATTGTTTCTTAAATACTGTTTCTTAAAATCTTAAAACAGTTTCTAAACACAAGGAAGTGTCTTTAACAAAAATGTGACAGATAAAATTGGATACTGCTTTTGGTATGACTGGGATCAACATCACTTTTGTCTGGCCAACCTATAAATAAAAAAAATTACTGGTCCTATCTTGCATTTCAGTTATGAAAGTATTTGTCACTACTGGAATTTGGAATCCTTTTAAGAGTAGCATCACACATTTCTGAAGGATGAATAGGAAGAATGAAAGAAAAATAACTGGCTGCAGCCTTAGGTCAGGTTGTAACTGTGTCCTATGCACTGATTAAACAGTATCTGAGGTTATAACAGAACCAGCAATGAATAAAACTGTTTTCATTTTTCAGGAGTGGACGTTTTTCTTGTGAGCCAGCTGGTGGCCTTACTTCTCTGACTGAACCACCCAAAGGACCAGGTTTTGGAGTTCGCCCTGACCTCTAAGGATTTTTGTAATATAAGATGAACTGTCTGAATATAATAAAGTAACTTTAATCTCAGTAAAATTACGTACACTGTATTTTTTTTTTAATTAAGAAAGTAGCAGCAATTAGAATATCTAACTTACTGTGGTCTTAACTACTGCAAATCATAATTCTGTATTATAAGTGGTTCTGTAAAGTGACTCACTGAAAGAGTCCACTTAAAATTACTCAAAGCTGAAGCTGCATCTTTTGATTTTTTAATTGAAAACTCTTTCAGGTTTTTCGAAGGGTCTTTGAAATAGCAAAAAAGCTGACTGAACTGGCAAATGCACAAGTAAACAAACAGATTATCTAACAAAACTTCATTCCATATTACTTTTAATTGCAATAAAAAACCCCCAACAAACCAAACAGGAAAGGTGATCCAAATATTTTTGTGTAAAATAAATAAAACAAAATAATGTGATAGAATCAATCAGAAGGTTCTTCTTGAGCCTGATTCTTCTTGCTACTCTTCAGTGACCACAAAGAATGTAAAAATTAACGTTACAACTTCCCCCCCCACGAGCAGTACTCTAGTAAAAGAATGAACAGCAACAAGAAACCACTTCCTATACAAATTTATTCAGCTGGGGGAAGACAGAATAAGACAGAATATACCGGAACAGTTTAATATATGGCCAAGTGTAATATATGAAACTAGTTACTTGATCTACAGATGCTTTTTTGACCTCACTGCTGCATATCAGCTACTTTTAAGAACTGTGTGAAATTGAGATGTTTCTCCTGATAAAGTTCTCACAACTTTTTAAAAATTGTAATGCATATTGACACTTAACACGCTTATAAAATCTGGCAAATGCTTTATATATGTACACATATATATTTGAACATAAATTAGCAAAAGGGAACGTTAGTCACCTGAGACCATATTGTGTCTACCTCTTCTAAAATCTGCCATTCTTACTACAATTAATGTGATAGATGGAGATTAATATTGTTTTTTTATATTTAGTTTTTATATTCTGACTTACAGTGCTTCCCTAAAATATTCTCCCTCTTCTGAGTCAAATCTGGTATCTACAGATCTGCATCATGATTATCTCATATAATCTGTTTGTGCCCCACCTTTATTTCAGTAGGGTCTGTGAAGTTCCTTGGTGTGTTGTTGAATAAGTGATGTTGATGTTGGTATTTCTGAAAGCAAAAGATACGGCTATCATTTGTATGTAAAACTTGCTATCCCTTCTACATTACTAAATATATAAAGCCAAATCAGTGCATTGCTTACAAATGGAAAAGTAAATTTGATAAATACCTACAAGTCACGAGTGAAGCAGTCACCCATTAAAATTAGAAAAAATATTGTATATAAGTGACACAGAACATTGCTAATGAGAAAATAGTACATGGATTGAAGTATTAGCTGTAATTTCAAGTTGCTGAATGCTCTTCTGAAAGGTCACTCCACTGTTCGTCATAGTCACACACCTTGTAGCAGGCCAGACATCTGGCACTATGTGGTACTTACCTAGAGACATAAAATGAGACAGCATATTACATTTTGATGCATTTTGATTCATTTTAATACACCAGTCTGTAACTGAGCTGTTTGGTCTTGTATTGTAGTCCACATAGGATTACCTCATTCTAACATAGGATGAAAGGAGGCAACTTTTTTTGAAGTATACACTGAATATAAATAAGGATTTTGCATGCATTATGGAACTATTGTGCTACAATTACTTATGGTTTTGTAGGCAACTGTGAAAGTGATGGGACTCTGTGTTGAAGGGAAAAAGTTTTAGACCTATAAAGTTTGCAACTTGAGCTTCATGATCTTTTGCTTAGCCTGGTGTGCAAGTTTACCAGTGTCCTCTGGACAGAAGTCTCAGTGTTTAGTATGTTGGGCATTGCTACAGACTGGATGTCAACTACAAGTTTTCTGCTTCATCATCCAGGTTAATGATGAAGATTGGTCAACTGAAGATGGAAAAAACTGGTCCCACTGTACTCTGTTACTGAGTAGGGGATGGTGTCAGAAGCCGTGATAATTTCAAAGTATGCTGCATTCATCATTCTGTCCTCACCCAAAAAGGCAGCTGTTTCATCAAGAGTGTGCACTCTGAACACTAGAGAATTATTTGTCTGTTGCAAAACCCACATTGACTCTTCCTGATTCCCTTGATTGCCTGTACGTTTGGTTATAGATTCCAAGAGGATGCACCCTTATTGTCTTTCCAGGAACTGAGGTTAGGTGAGGTTGAGCAGCCTTTATTTCCTTGCCTTCTTGTCTCTATATGCCTTAGAAGTGTAACAGTAGTGGTTTTCCTGGTCACTGGGAAGCTCCCTTTATCTCAATTTAGTTCCTCTGTTCACCAGACCTAGACCATCCAAGCCTCCTGAGGCTCATTTGAGTTCCTATTTCTTTATCCATACATTTCCCATTTTATTTTCCTTTTCCTGTCCAAACATGGCTTTTGGTTTGTGTTTACTAGCTCCCCCATCTGCTCCTACATTCCCAGCTGAGTAGCTTCTCCCCCCCTTTCTTCCCAGATTCATCTTGTCCCTGTTTCACTCAGTGGTATTATCTCATTCCCAGCTTTGTTGTATCAATTTCTTCCTGGTGCTTTGCTCTTTGCCTTGTCCATGTTTCCTCACTCTACTGCCAGTACCAAGCTGCTTGTCCCAGCATTTGTGCTGCTGTGCTTCTTATGTCCCTCCCATTCTAGGCCAATTTTATTCCTGGGGCGGGGACTTTTTACTAGGGCACATAGCAAGAGGACAAGGGGTAATGGATTCAAACTGGTAGAGGGGAGGTTTAGGTTAGACATTAGGAAGAAATTCTTCAGTGTGAGGGTGGTGAAACACTGGCACAGGTCATGCAGGGAAGCTGTGGAAGCCCCCTTCAAGGCCAGGTTGGATGGGACCAGTTAGGAATCAGTTAGGTTGGAAAAGACCTTCAAGATCCAGTTCAAACATTAACCCTACTCTGCCAAGTCCATCACTGAGCCATATCCCAAAGCACCACATCTAGACAACTTCTAAACATATCCAGGGATGGTAACTCAACCACCTCCCTGGGCAGTATATTCCAGTATCTGACAACCCTTGGCAGTGAAGTTCTTCCTAATGTCTAATCTAAATCTCCCCTGGTACAGCTTGAGGTCATTCCCTCTTGTTCTATCTCCAGTTGTTTGTGAGAAGAGACCAGCACCTGCCTCTTTCCAGTGTTCTTTCAGGTAGTTCCTGATGTCTGTCTTGTGAGCAGAAGATGGAGCTCAACAGTTGGCGATCATGTTAGTGATGTTCCACAGACAAGTATGTCAGTCATTCCGGTGTAACAATCTACCAATCACTTCACTACAAAAGGGTAATTTACACTATCCTTATTGAAACACAGCACTGTTTACAATTAAATTGCATATTGTAGGGCAGCTATAGGACTGTGAAATATTTGAAGAGAAATAAGCAAATAACCATTACTCTTCTCTATCATCTTCCCTGTTTTATTAATCAGTTGCATTAGGCTTTATGATCCCAGTTTCTACATTTAAAAAATTGGCAATTACTGTATTAAGATAAATTATTAAAGAAAAAAATCACATCTTGTGTTGTTTTAGGGTTTGTTTAAAGTTGAATATTTCAAACCAAACACCTCAACTAGAAATACATATTCTGCAGTAATTATTACATGTAGTTGTTTACAAAATACAAAATTATTTTCACAATACTAGTTTATGTGGGACTGTTAGGATTAACAAAGTGATCACTATGGAAGAGTTCTAGAATAGTGTAAAAAGACTTAATATATCCAAGTCCTCTTTTCTATTCTTGAATAGCTCCAAGTAGCAAGTATTAACAGGATATAATTTCCATTATTCTCAATCCTCAATAGCAAAGGGTTACTAAGTGCAAAAAAGAAAAAAAAATGCCCTTTAACTGGGAAAAAAAAAAACCACCATCAAAAAAACCCCACCCTAGTAGAGGTTTTAAGAAAATAGACACAATCTTGGGAAAATACCATTTAGAACACGGAAGCAGGGGACACAAAGAATCCACTGGACTGGGAGTGGTGGTGGTTGTTCTTTCCTTTGGTAAAGATGGAGAAAACTTGGAGTAATAGGAAACTCCACTAGATAGAATTACGCATTTGGATAATGTTGGACAATGGCAAAGATTTCCATGACCTTCACACCACTAGAAAAATGTTATCCGGACCTGTGTTGGGTCATTAAATAGGAAGAAACAATGAAATTCAATTCCGCCTGTGCAGTACGTTGGCTGCGTTCATGGGCTAACCTGCTGCTTACCTACCTGACGACACTTGTGCTTTCACCAGTGTGACATTTTGCAGATTTTTTGTCAATCACTAGACTAAATTCAGGAATGACACAGTTCAACCAGATGCCGTCCATGTTAGGAATGACACAGTTCAACCAGATGCCGTCCTGGTAACACAGTGTTTCACTAGGGAAGGCAGATCGAGGAAAGTACTATGGACACCAATGCAGCACAGCTACAAAGGCATTCTGCAGCTGTGCTATGTAAAAGGGAGGGGCATCTGGAGACAAGAGGTAGCTCTACTAAAGTAGAGGTAGCAATCAGCAATCAACTGACTGATGCTTTTTACTAGTCCAAACAGCAGCTCTTAAAAAAGACTTAAGGAACCCTATTTTTTTGTTCCCAACAGATAATTATCATCAAATCTTAACATCTGCTGCAGAAGTTGTGTTGCTCATGAGCTTCCTTCCATTATCTCAGCTGCTGGTTTAGAGCGTCTGCCAGCACACACGGAAATCCTGGAACTGCATGCTGCTGCTGCACTAGGATCAGAATGTAGTATTACACTGCTGCACTGCACCTGCAGCCTTTCAAATAATCCCTAATGTCCCTATATGATATTGTGGGAAAAAAATTACACTGCCTTGGGAAATAGTTCTTAATCCACTTATGCTGGCAGTCTATAGCCTGTCTACTCTTCAGTTTGCTTGCCACCTCAAGTGATGTCCTCTGTAATCAACCTGACCTGAAAAAAACATTAAGTGAATGCAACTCCCTTTGTTTTGTAGTGATGGGTGCCA